ACTTTGAAGTCTATAATACAATATTGTTTTCTATATTCGCTAGGCCGTGCTTTAAACCTCCAGGACTTATTTATCTACTGGTTGCAAATTTGTAGCCTTAAACAACACATACCCAATTCTCTCACTCTCCAGCCTTTATTAACCATTACTATACCCTGTTTTTATGAGGTCTTTTTTAGATTCCACATATTAGTGATATCATACAGTATTTGTCTTACTTTTTTTGACTTAATCTCAATTAGAATAATGTACTTACGGTCACAACACATTTTCTTTATCCATTCATCTCTTGACAGACACTTAGGTTCTTTCCACGTCTTGGTTATTGTGAATAATGCTGCTGCGAATATGGGAGTGCAGATAGCTCTTAAAGACAGTGATTTCAACTCCCTATGTTTCCTTGATCATCTTAATAGATGCAGGAAAAGCATTTGACAAAACACAACATCCTTTCATGATAAAGTCCTTAACAAATTGGGTATAAAAGGAGCATACCTCATTATAATAAAGGCCATATATGACAAACCCACAGCTAACATCATGCTCATTGGTAAAACATTGAAAGCTTCTCAACTGCATACAAAAGCTCCACCCTTTTATTCCCCTCTTTATAGTTTTTTTTTTTAAGATTTTTTTTTTTATTTAATTGACAGAGAGAGAGAGAGAGAGACAGAGAGAGAGGGAACACAAGCAGGGGGAGTGGGAGAAGGAGAAGCAGGCTTCCCACCGAGCAGAGAGCCCGATGCGGGGGCTCGATCCCAGGACCCTGAGACCATGACCTGAGCCGAAGGCAGTCGTTTAACCAACTGAGCCACCCAGGCGCCCCCCCCTTTATAGTTTTGATGTCACCATTTACCTCCTTTTATATATTGTGTTCATTAACAGATTATAATAGTTACAGTTATTTTTAGTACTATTTTCCTTTAACCTTTATACCATAGTTTAGTGGTTAACACACTATTCTATTACAGATTTAGAGTTTTCTAAATCTGATTGCATATTTACCTTTACCAGCTTGTTGTACACTTTCAGATGTTTTTGTGCCACTAATTAGCATCTTCTCACTTCAGCTTGATGGACTCCTTTCAGCATTTCTTGTAAGGCAGGATACCTTCACCTTTTGTTTCACTGAGAAAGTGTTTATTTCCCCTTCATATCTGAAGAATAACTGTCATATAGAGTATTCTTGGCTGATAATTTTTTCTTCAACATTTTGACTATGTCATTCCACTCTCTCTCTCCTGGCCTGTGGGGTTTCTGCTGAGAAATCCACTGATAGCCTAATCCTAAGTTATACTTTTTTTTTCCCCCTCTAGATACATTTAGGTTTCTTTTTCTTTGATTTTTGGCAGTTCCATTATAATGTGGCTTGGAGGTCTTTTTGCATTGAGATAATAGGGTCATCTATTAGCTTTGTGAACTTGGATGTCAAAGTGTCTCCTCAGTTTTGGGATGTTTTCAGCTATTATATTTTAAAACAAACCTTCTGGCCCCTTCCTCCTCTCTTCTCCTTCTGGAACCCTGATTATGCTAGTATTTGCACATTTGACCAAATCCCATAGATCACATAGGCTTTCTTTGCTGTTTGTCATTCCTTTTTCTCTGTTTGCCTTGCACTGGGTTGTTTGAAAAGCACTGTCTTCTAGGTCACTTATTTTGTCTTCCATTTGATTTACTCTGCTGCAGATTCTCTCTATTGCATTTTTCATTTCAATCATTGAATTCTTCAGCTCCAGAATCCTGTCTGGTTCTTTCTTATGGTTTCTATCTTGTTGCTAAATTTCTCATTTTGTTCATGTATTTTTTCCTGATTTCACTGAATTATCTTCTGTGTTTCTTTGTAGCTCATTGTTTCCTCAAAACAGTTATTTTGAATTCTTTATCTGCTAGATCATAAGATTTCATGTCTTTGAAGTCTTTATTGAAGGATTATCTTTTGATGATGACATGTTTTCTTGATTCTTCATGTTCCTTGTAATTTTGTGTTGCTGCTTTGCCTTTGAAGTAAAAGACACCTCCTCAACTCTTCACTAGTTGCTTTCAGATGGGGTATATTGTTTGTTGGTCCTGTTGTATATGGGATTCTCTCAGACCTTGTATTTATACACCTGCTTCACACTTCTTGCTCCCTCTTGTGGCAGAATTCTTAAGCTTTTAGTCTTCTCTGGATCTTACCGCTCACCTGGTTGGCTCCTGGAAACCTCTCTTTTGTTTTTCCAGAAGGTGGTGCTACAGCTCAAGATTGTGGTTTCTCTCTTGCCCACAGTTCCAGGTCTGTTTTTCTGATAGCACTCTGTTTACCCAACTTTTGCTGCCAATCTTGGAGCCCGAGTAAGGAGCCACCTTAGAGTGAGGGAAGGTATGGGTTTAGCACTTGGGGTATTAGGGATGTCTGCCAGCTGGTAGGAAGATCCTTGGCTGAGGTTCTCCCAGAGGCTTGTGGGTAGACTTTCTCCAGACATGCTGAGCTCAGTCAGCATGAACCGTGGCCCTTTATAATGCCCTTTGATATTCTTACTTGCCTCTTTCCCAATTTATTCCCTCCTCTCAGTCATGGAGGTCCCACTTTAGTACTCTGGATGTTGCTGGAGGGAAATGGGTTTCCCTGTGCAGCATCTGGCAAAGCTAGGGTAACCAGGCACTCACACACTGCTCCCCTTTCCCCCCCAGAGTGGTGCCACGGGATAGTTCAATTCTGTGTTGTGTCAACTTGGGGCGGGGGAGGGGCACTGCTGGAAAATTTCCTTCAAACTTGTTTTGTTTGTTTGTTTCCTTCAGTGATGTGCTGGAATTCTGTTTCATCCATGGGTATTTGCCCAGGTCAACACTTTTCAAGATTTTCCCCAAACACAGCTGGGAAGGGTCAGGTTTGGGGTTGCTAGTTCCATGGTCCAAACCAAAGTCTGTCTGCAGTCTGTCTATTACTGGATGATCTGGTGGGTGGGTGGGCGAGACTCCTCCTGGGTTTCTTGGCCTATGCTGTTGGATCACAGGACTCCCACAGAGACACTTTTGTTTGTGGGTGGATGCTTAATTAGCTGTTAAAAAAAAAGGGACACAAAAATTGGGATATCTTACACCACCATGATATTGGTCACCCCTGTTTCACCACATTTATGTTGTTTGTTGACTACCCTTGTATCTGTTACTAGTGTCTTCTATTTTCTTCTCTCCTCTCCTCTTTGTACCTAAAATTTATATCTATTGTATTCAGATCACTGTCATTTTGGTAGAAGTTTTAAAGGGAAGGAGGCATCATAAACACATGCATTCAATATGCTGTGTTTAGACTGATAGAACCTTTTTTGGGTACAATTAAGAATGCATAACTTCAAAATGCCTATGCCCTTTGATGCAGTTGTCCTATTTCTAAATAAAACTAACCTGTAGAAATAATTCTACATGTATATAAAGAGATGTGTACAAGGATACAAGCATGTTGACATTAGCATTGCTCATAATAGTGAAAAATTGTAAACCATTTATGTGATAGTAATAAGGAAATAGTTAAACTTTGATATGTCTATACTACAGAATACTATGCAATAATCAAAAAGAATGCTATTGGCATATCTGGAAATCTCTCTAAGAAATATTCTTAAATTTAAAAAAAACGGATATGTATTATATATGATCCCACTTATATTCTTTAAAAATCCACAAAACAATGTATGTTTTGATTCATACTAACCAGTGAATAAAGATTATGGAAAACTAATTTGCTGATGGTAATCTTGAGTCCTGTCAGATTGACCATGCCCTGGGACCCAAGGCCAGGCATGCCCCTATGTTCTCAAACTTACCACAAACGGAAGGCTGTTCACCCAAAGGCTCTCATCCTGTTGAGCACATCAGACAGGGATCATCACTGGGCCTACAAAGCATATTGCACATTAACAGAATGATTATTCTCTTTTCTCACCAAGGAAAACTGCAAATTTCTCCCCCACAAAGTCACCTGATGAGGTCATCACAAAATACCTACACTGGTTTTCCATCTGTGACTGTATAAGTTATCAATTGCTGCACAGCAAATTACCTCAAAACTTAGTGACTTGAAACAACACACATTTATTATCTTGTTTCTATGGGTCAGGCCAGGCCTGCACCAGGAGGGCGTGATTCACTTCCAAACTCATGCATATGGCTGTTGGCATGATTCAGTTCTTTGCAAGCCGTTAGCCAGAAGCTACTCTTAGTTCCTTGCTATGTGGGCCCCTCTGTAGAGCAGCTCACAACATGATAGCTTGCCTCATCAGAGCAAGTGAGTGAGAAAAGCCAGAGAAAACGCATAAGCAAGTTGGAAGTCAGTCTTTTGTAAGTTAATCTTAGACTCATCCATCACTTTTGCCATATTCTGTTTTTTAGAAATAGATCACTGGATCTGGCCCACTAGGTCCAGCCCTCAAAGGAAGGGGCTTGTATAAGAGTCAGAATACTAAGAGGTGGGGGGCATCTCGGGAACTGACCACATGTGTTGACCTAGGCCTGTGATGGTATAGTTAGAATAAAGGAGGCATTGGTCCTTGATTTTATTTATAAATTTTTCGTCAAAAAAAAAAAAGCTGCTTACATCTGTGATTAAAAGTTTCTTCAGGGGTTGCAGGAGCAAATTCAGAAGCCAAGAATCTTCCTCTGTAGGCAAAAATAGGCTTTAAACACGTATATACCTCCTAAGCAAATGACATTTAGGTACAGTTGCTTGCTTATAATACATCCTAAATAATACTTTTCTTTCTTTTATCTTTTCATTCTGAAATTACTTCAAATTTAAAGTTGCAAGAATAGAGGAAAAGAATCCCATATGCCCTATACCCAGATTCACCATTCGTTGATAATTATGTTTTGAATACACTATGTAGTTTGTCACATGCGAAGGCAATATTTGTAGCCATCGAAGCTTTGGGGTGTGGTGAGAGGTGTGCAAGGCGGGCAGGAGCCCTATGTACTCTCCGCATATGGAGTTGTCATCTCTCAAATGCCTCTTCCTCCTCCTGCAGAAAATCCCGAGCGAGCAGCTCTGTACTTTGTCTCCGGCGTGTGCATCGGGCTGGTGCTCACCCTGGCTGCCTTGGTGATGAGGATCTCTTGCCACACGGACTGCCGGCAGCGTCCCCGGAAGAAGTTCCTGCAGGACCGAGAGAACAGCAGCGACAGCAGCGACAGCGAGGATGGCAGCTCAGACACGGTGTCTGACATCTCGGTCAGGAGGCACCGCCGCTTCGAAAGGACTTTGAACAAGAACGTGTTCACCTCAGCCGAGGAGCTGGAGCGTGCCCAGCGGCTGGAGGAGCGGGAGCGCATCATCAGGGAGATCTGGATGAATGGCCAGCCCGAGGTTCCCGGGACCAGGAGCTTGAACCGCTACTACTAGCGGCGGGAGCCCAAGCCCAAGCCCGCGCCGCAGGAAGTCCTCAGCAAGGGCCAGGGGCCGCAGGGAGGGTGGGCACAGAGCTGAGCGCAGTTCTGCTGCAGTCCTGAGGGCAGAGATAAGCAGGGCACGCCCATTTTCTAGCCAGGAGGACTGAGCTTTCCTTTTCGACTAAATTTATGGAGAAGTAGAAAAACCAAGTCCATCAATCTTTGCAGGTCGTAGAATGGTGCTGAAAAACCCTCTCCAGCAATCTGGATGGAGATTAGAGAAACGGGACTGTGGTTTCTCTTGATTTCTGAGGATCTCAGAAGTTTCTGCAGACTTCATTGCTATGTGTTACTCCTTTACAAAAGGAAGATTATCATGGCATGAAGGCTAGGAATAGCAGGGTGAACTTAACCCAGTAAATGCAATTTTCTAAATGACCCCATGCTATGGAGGTGACTCTCATCCAGATAGCATGATTTATGATTATTATTTAAGGCTGATTTTTAAAAATCTTGTGTTGCAATGGCAACCTTGTCCATTTTAACTGGCACCTCAGGGATTAAAATCCTATTTTTTAGTATAGTTCCCACCTCATTCATGAAAATGGGTAGAATTAATGTATTATGGGAGATGTGTCAGTGAGCTGGAAATATCAATAACCTCAAAGGATGAAGGGTTTTATTTTAAATAGTTTATAAAATATATATTAACGTGCATATTTGAAGATGGTGCATAAAAATAAAAGTTGTGTTTTCCCCCTTTTTGGAGAGAAGAAATTTTGTTATGACTCTAGATAATTATGATTTTAAACATTTTGTTAAAAAAAAAGTTTGGATTTCCAGGAAAAGAATGGGAATAGGAGATGAGAAATAAAGCCAAAATTAGGATGAGATTTAAAAAAATGCTACATTCTTTTTTTTGTTTCATGTCCATCTCTGTTGTAATGCTTACTTTAAATGGCAACACTTTTACATAGGTGGCTGTGGTCTTTTGCCAGGCCCTTTCAACAACTGGAGAATTGGGAGAAATGGAGAAACTGGAGAATAAAGAAATAGCCCCTGTGTGACTAACTGGGGACCTTTCATTTGCTGTGTGTTGTATATTATAGTTACAATGTAGCTAGGTTGTTGTAAAGCAGAGGATAGGCTTGTCCAAGGCTAAGAATAAGATGGTGGCCATATGGAGAAGGGAAGTCAGTAGAGAAGAAAGACAGCAAGGCTGAAACACATTTAGAAATGGGTTACAGAGAAGGAAGCAGCATCCTCCAGCCTTATAGACAGGAATAGTGAGTTCTCTCTGTCAGCTCCCTTCTCTTGACATGCAGTGGGTTCCTTAGTCAGCAGTTTGGGTGTTCCCGAGCCTTCCTACTGACATCCATCGGTGTCATCACCAAGCCTGAAAGGATGGTTGGGAGACTTCCTCTGCTGGGGTCTCTATTGCAACCTGCTGTCTGTGATTAGGGCTTGGAAGGCTGTCTTAAGAAGTGAACACTCACAAATCTCTGTTTGCCCAGGGGGCAATACAGTTGGCTTGAAACCTTGGTGGCTGATCTGATTATATCATTTTGGGTTGCCCCATTGGCTAGTAACAACTGCCAAAAATCTTGTAAATCAGTGTCTTTGAATCTGGGTTCCCACTCTTGTGATTTCAGTCCCTAGGCAATAATTGCCTAGGCTTCAGATTAATATCACCTTTGGTCTCTGTCTCTTAGAAAAGTGAAACAAGGTGTTGCTTTCATCCCCAGAATTCACCCAAAGCTGATAACAGGGAAGGATATGACCCTTGTTAGGCCAGGGGCTAAGGGGGCTGCAGTAATGGAGGTGTTTGGGAAGGTTCTGGGTCATCTGGCTTTCTCACCCCAATATCCTGAGGCCTTTCTACCAAGTCCATAAAGTTCCTATCTTTAGGGTGGTGGGGACTTTGCCTAAGGCACAAAATACTAGATAACAGTTTAACCCACTGCTTCACTTCCATATACTAAGGATTTCAGCTTTTCAGCCAAAGATAGGGAGACCTCAATTGTTATATTCCTTATCTTGACCCAAGCAGTTCCACATTTAGGTCTGTCATTCCTTGTTCCAGTTTCTGCATTAGGCCATTTCATTTGCAACAGAATAATATCCAACTTAAGAGCATTTATTGGTTCATATAACTGGGAAAAGTAGCACTGGATCAGGCTTCATGGATGACGGGGTCCAGATGCTGAAATGCTATCAAAAGTTTGTTCTTTCTCAGCTCTCATCTCTGCTTCTCTCTCTTGCTGGTCTCATTTTCTTCTACTTCAGATGAAACTGTGACCTTTGTATACCTCTACAGTGTACTGGATTAATTGCTACTGACCAAGCTCCCATACAGCTCACAGGTTGTGTGTGTGGGGGGAGGGGGGTGGAGGGAAGGGGGGTGGGGGGGGGGGGCAGTTTCACAGTTAACTTAGCTCAGAAGACAGCATGGAAAGGATGCTTCTGATGCAGCTTTCCTGGTCTTCCATGGTTCCTCAGAGAAGCACTGGCTGACAGTTAAACATCTAAGAAGATGTTAGGAGTACAGTTACCCTAGGAAGCTCCCACCCACTTCCTTTAAGGGCCTCTTTCTGCACTGTGAGGCACAGGTGGTCACCATCCACTCATGGCATATCTGAACCCCCTCAGCTGAACCTTCACTACTGGCAGGGAGTGCACCCTAGGCACTTTTGGACTTAACATCATTCCAATATAAGGACATGAAAGGAAAGAAACATCTTGCCTCAAGGTTCAAAATTAAAATCACAGAGAAGGACTACTTGGCCTGGCTTGTATAGTGCTCCTTCTAGGAGTTCTACCATTTCAGATATTACATTTAAGTCTTTTTTTTTTTTTTTTAAGGATTTATTTACCTACTTTAGAGAGAGAGAAGCAAAGGGAGAGGGAGAGAGAATCCCAAGCAGACTCTGTGATAAGCACAAAGCCTAATGCAGGGTCAATCCCATGACCTCAAGATCACTACCAGAGCTGAAACCAAGAGTTGGGCGCTCAACCAACTGCTCCACCCAGGCACCTCTACATTTAAGTCTTTAATCCATTTTGAGTTAATTTTTGTGAGTCGTGTATGATGGGGCTCAATTTCATTCTTTTGCATGTAAATATCCAATTTTCCCAGCACTATTTATTGAAGAGACAATCCTTTTCATATTGAGTATTCTTGGCTCCCTTGTCAAATATTACTTAACTATATATGTGTGGGCTTACTTCTAGACTCTCAGTTCTGTTCCATTGGTATATGTGTCTGTTTTTGTGCCAATACCAGACTGTCTTGATAACTACAGATTTGTAATATGATTTGAAACCAGGAAGTGTGATGCTTCCAGCTTTCTACTTCTTGCTCAAGCCTAATTTGGCTATTTGGGGTCTTCTGTGGTTCCATATGAATTTTAGGATTATTTTTTCCTATTTCTGTAAAAAGTGCCTTTGGAATTTTGATAGGGATTGCACTAAATCTATAGATGGCTTTGGATAGTATAGACATTTTAACAATATTAATTTTTCCAATCTACGAACATGGGATATCTTTCCATTTATTTGTGTCTTCTTCAATATATTTCATTAAAGTCTTACAGTTTTCTAGGTACAGATCTTTCACCTACTTGGTTAAATTTATTCTTAAGTTTTTAATGGTATTGTAAATGGAATTGTTTCCTTTATTTCTTTTTCAGATGGTTCATTATTGAGAAATACAAGAGATTTTTGTATTTTGAATCCTGTAACTTTGCTGAATTTGTTCATTAGTTCTAAGAGTTTTTTGGTGGAGTCTTCTAGGTTTTCAATATATAAGATAATGCAACCTTCAAACAAAACAAGTATACTTCTTCCTTTCTTATTTGGATGCCTTTTATTTCTTTTTATTTCCTAATTTCTCTGGCTAGGACTTGTAGTACTATGTTGAATAGGACCGGTGAGAACTGGCACCCTTGTCTTGTTCCTGACCTTAGAGGAAAAGTTTTAGACCTTTCACTGTTGAGTATGTTATTAGCTGTGGGCTTGTCATATGTGGCCTTTATTAAGTATTTATTGAGAATTGTTATCATGAAAGGATACATTTAAGTTCTTATGCTTTAATTGGACTTACTTTATAGTCATTGAGGATATCTATCCATCCATCTCCCTTTGCAATAATTCATGTTAGAGTCAAAGTTAACTTGTTCCCGCCTTTCCCCTCTTGATGCTAAATATTTTCACACTTATTTATTTTTCTCATGGTACTTTTTCCCTTTTATGCTAATATTTTATTTACACATATAAATTTCTAGTATTCACTGTGTTGAAGTAAAATGGCCCCACTTCCTGCCTGTTGCCATAGCTTTCACAGCTTTAGCATCATTCTTATCAGAGTGGCAGTTCTGATAGCTATACTTACTCTTCTAATCAGCTTTGGGCAGAGCAAAATGAGCCTCATTTATTATGTTTTTCCTCATCTTCTCAACCTATATTGAGATAGCACATATTGAAAAATGGATTCCTCTTGAAAATTCTGGTTGAAAAAAAATTGTGGTCAGAAAGGGGTGTCAGTCTTCTAATTATCTCCCAGCCCAAATCAGTCTTTATAGATCAGGATACATCCTTTCTTTGCCCTAAATATTGGATTTACTATTTAACAAATTTAGTACTGCTAAGTATTAGTCTTCAGGGTAAGAGTCTCCCCAGGTCTTGCTTGAGAATCTGCATCATGACCTCACTTTATCCTAATTGTAGATTTGAAAATTCATGAATTTTTCTTTAAGTTTTAAATATATGAATTGCTCTTTCACCCTGGGATAAGAATATCTTCCTTACATTTTCCAAATAGAATCAAATCTTCCCTTGTGTCCCCTCGGTTGCTTGCACACTCACACTCTATGTGATTTTTCTGCACCTGCCTTTGTGGCATAGCCTTTAAGCCCCTGGCAGCTGTACAGTACCTTATTCACCTCTGTATTCTCAGTGTGCATGCAGGACCTGGATCATAGTAGCTTCTTATTAGATAGTTTTGAATAATAAAAT